TCCTCCAACATGTCTTGCTCCCTCTGTGTCTCCTGGCGACTCCACTGACTCCACCCTTGTTCCTCCCAGCATTCTCAATTTGGCTGTCCCGCCTATTCTTCCTGCCAGTCAGTCCTTTATTAACCACTGAGAGTAATATATATGTGCACAGTGGACAGAGGGACTACTCCACAGCAACTTGCAGAAGTTGGTTCTTCCCTTCCACTGTGTAGGTTCCAGGAATCAAGCTCAGGGCCTCACATCATGTCTTCTTTACCTGCCAAACCATCTCCTAAGTTGAGATGGATTTCTTCGTTTAAGTAAAAAATTGATGTTTAACTTTATCCAACATTTTTCTTTGCTCATTTGAGATTGTGTGGTTTCTCCCTCTTTGATCTGTTAAAATGGTGAGTTACATAGATTTTCAAATACTTAACCAGATTTAAATCCCTGGAACAAACCCCACCTAGCCATAGTGTGTAATCCCTCTTATATATTGTTTGTATATTGCTTATTTCTATCTGTTAATATTTTGCTAAGAAGTTGTGTTGGTTTTTATGAGGGGATGCAGATCTGTAAATTTCTTTATTCCTTTCTTTTTTTCTTTTCCCTTTTTTGAACTGTCTATCTAGTTTGGATATTAAGGTAATTTTTGCCAATAAAATGCATTAGAAACTGTCCCCTCCTCCTCTATTTTCTAAAAGAGATTTATAGAATTGATATTTTAATCTTAAGATGTTTGTTAGAATTCTCCAGTGAAAATGTCTAAGTCTAGAGATTTCTTTTCTGAGTTAACACTGTGGATTCAATTTCCTGAGTAGTGACAGCTATTGCATATCTGTTTCACATGAGGGGCGTTGTGATGGGGTTTTTGAGTAATTGGTCCATTTGTGGAAGCCGTCAGGTTTGTGTATAGGCTTCCCTTATCCTTTCAGTGCCTGGCTTGTCATTCTTGCCAGCTCTTTGTTTCACCTACTTCCCCTGCCTTTTTACTGGGGGAGTGTCCCATGGATGTCAATTACAGTGATGGATGGTGTTGCTTAATTCTTCCGTGTCTTGTCTCATATCTGGCTGGCTCTATCAATTGCTGAAGGAGGGGTGTTGCTGTGCCCATTGCATTTGGGAAGTCACCTGTTTCTCCTTATGTATCTGTCAGTTATTGCTTTGCAGTTTGCAGTCCTCTTGCTGGTTGGGCACACATTCTGGATGTCTTCTTACTGCACCAAATCTTGCAGCATTTTATAACGCTGCCCCGATAGTTTTCTTTTTGTAAAGTATGATTTATCTGTTGTCAATGTGGCCATTCTTGCATTCTGTTGATTGATGTTTGAATGGCATTCTTTAGTCATCCATCCACTTTTAGCCTGCCCATATTTTTTAAGGGAATTCCTTGTATATAACACTAATATTTTTCATCCACTCTGCCCATTTTTGTATTTCAATTAGAATATTTAGGTCACTTAGAGTTAATACAAATATTGGCATGCTAGGACTTAAATCTGCTATTTTTGTTTTTCTGCTCATTGTTTATTTTTCGTTCTTACATTTCTCCACTTTCCCATGGGTTATTTGAGCATTTTTAAAGGAATTGTATATTTGGGGCTAGGAAGATGACTAAATGGGTAAGAGTGCTTGCTTTGTAAGCATGAGAACCAGAGTTTGAATATCCAGCACTCACTTAAAAACTATACATGGCCACACAGTTACCTGTAATGCCAACATTGTAAAGATCAGGGACAGGAGGATCTCTGGGATAATTGACTGCTGGCCTAGCTCCAAGTTCAGTGAAAGACCTTGTCTCAAGGGAATAGGAGGAGAGCGATGAAACAGAACACAGGACAGCCCCCTCTGGTACACACACACACACACACACACACACACACACACACACACACACACACACTCACACACTCACACACTCACGCACGCTCGTTTACACACAGAATTCTACATTATCTGGGATTCTAAACTGCACTTTTTAATAGAGCCTTTCTAGTCACACTGTGTGTATACAGTTTATCACAGTCTATTGGTGTCATCATTTTATCAGCTAGGATGAAGTCCAGTTACTACACATTTATATTAAATAAATATTTCTTCTGCATTGCGTTTGAAGCTTCATCAATATTATTTTTGCTTAGCTTCCAAATGTAACTTAGAAAATATAATTTTTTAACACCTTTGCTTGTTCTTTTCTGCCTTCATGTTCTAAGAAAATCTATAAAAGCACCAACTGCCATGGTCAGAAGGTGGCAGAAAACTAAAGGAAAGTGTTGGGAACACTGTTGATGCTGATGGTGCCAGGATCACCTTGCAAAGCTCACATACCACTCTGATGTTTCTGAATATCTCTAGGATGCAGGGAAAGAGGCCAAGGTTACTGGGGGGTGGTATGGCAATGATGACCCAAGATAGTTTCAGACAGGTCACAGTGACTCCCAACACTCCTGCCTGCTATTCGTTCTGTGATGATGAACTTGCCATAGCCAGCCTTCATGGCAGGTTGTCTTGGTGGTGGTGGTGGTGGGTTTTTTTTTTTTCACTCCTGAAGGACATTTTTCTAGTTGAGGGTTCTAGATTGACAGTTCATTCTACATCTGAGAAATATTCTCTCTTTCCTCTCTCAGTCCTGACATGAAAGCTGTTGCCATTCTGAGTGTTTGTTACACTGCTTACAATTTTGTGTGTGTGTTTCTTTTTTTTTTTTTTTAGTTTAATTTCTGGTGTGTCTTCGTGTGAAGTTTTAAAATTATGCTCTTTAGGGCTTAGCTTACTTGGGTTCTTGAGATAGTTACCATTAAGTCTGATTAAACTTGGAAAGTTAAATATGTTCTATTATTTCCTAAGTGTTACATATCTATGTCATCGGTCTGTCTGTCTGTCCGTCTGTCCATCCATCCATCCATCCTTCTGTTCAGGCTGGGTAATTTCATATAAGGGGCTGTCTTCCATCTACTGATTCTTCGCTGTCTCTTCCATGTTGCTGAGCTGCGTTTGTCCTCTCCGTGTTTGGGTTGTGTCTCTGGTGGTTTTTACATTATATTATTACTGTCTTCTGTTTTTATCAGTCTTTTTATTTGTTTCAGGCATGTTTTTAATTATTGGAATATTGCAGTCATAGCTGTTTCAAAATCTTTGTCAGATAAAAATGTTAATGCTGTCCCTTGAGAGGGTCCCATTATGTAGCCCAAGTTGACCTGCAACTTGCAATCTTATTTTCTCAGCCTCCTGTGGCATCTGTTTACTCCCACTTTTCATTCATCTTGAAACCTTCCTGGTTTCTGGTCACACAGATGATTTTTTTTTTAATTAGAACATGGATGTGTCCCTGTTATGTACTGAGACTGTGGCTAGTATTTAAATCTTGTTTTAGATGGCTTTCCCCAACACTGCTAAGACAGAGAGGTGTGTCTTTTGTCAACTTGACACAAGCACAAACTAGATAGAGTCATCTAGAAAGAGAGAATTCCAATTGAGAAAATACTTCTATCAGACTGGTGTATAGGCAAGACTATGGGGGGGGCGTGTTTTTTTGTTTGTTTGTTTGTGTGTTTTTGTTATTTTGTTTTTTTTTTAAATCAATGATTGATGTGGGAGAGCCCAGCCCACTGAGCGTGGTGCCAGCCCTGGGCAGGTGATCTTGAGAAAGCAGGCTGAGCAGGCCATGAGGAACAAGCTGATAAGTGTTGCTCCTCTTTAGCCTTTGCTTCAATTGTTCCTCTAGGTTCCTGCCTTTACTTCCCCCTGAGTGTGGACTGTAACTTGTAAGCCAAATTAACGCTTCCCTCCCCAAGTTGGTTTTGGTCAGTATCATCACAGCAAGAGAAACCGTGACACTACCTCATTAATCCTACGTGGAGACGGAAGTCCCCACAGGGTTTTGTGGCTCATTATAGGCCAGTGGGAGTGAAGATCCTACCTCTCTTCTCTTCCATGGATACCACCTGTATTAGCCAGGGTTCTCTAGAGTCATAGAACGTATAGAATGAATCTCTCTCTCTCTCTCTCTCTCTCTCTCTCTCTCTCTCTCTCTCTCTCTCTCTCTCTCTCTCTCTCTCTCTCTCTCTCTCTCTCTAGTATATATGGAATTTATTGGAATGACTTACAAACTGCAGTCCAACAATGCCTGCCTGCGAATGGAAAGTCCAAGAGTCAAGTAGTTGCTCAGACTCACAAGGCTAGTGTCTCAGCTGGTCTTCTGTATATGCTGGAATCCTGAAGAAATAGACTCCAGTGAGGGAATGGACGGCTGACAAGGCAAGGGCAAGAGGGTGAAGAATGAACAACCTCTTCCTTCTTCTGTTGCCCAGCAGAAGGTGTGACCCAGATTAAGGGTGTACCTTTCTGTCTCAAGGTCTGGATTAGAGGCATGCGTTGTCCTGCCTCAAGACCTGGGTCACAAGTGATCACAACTATATAGATCACAACAGTGACCCATTTCTGGGTTATACTGCATTGCAGATACAGTCAAGTTGACAACCAAGAATAGCCATCATAATTAACCCTAACAGATGCTGGGATCCCTTGCTGTAGCTTCACCGGGTTTACTGCTCAGGGCAAGGCTTCCTCTTACCCATTGCCAGTCCTGGTGATGTGTGTTCACACTGCTATGTGTAACCGTTGTTGGGGCCTGAAGTGGAGCATTTGCTGTCTAAACGTTTTCTGTCTTAGGAGGCTGCACCTTGAGGCCAAGGGATCAGTTAGGCAAAGGGAAACCAAGAACTTGAACACTGTGTTGTTCGCTGAGCCTCCTCCTAGCAGGTCTGCCTTCTACTCCATTCAGAGTTGTGTTTGTTTTCCCTGAATACCCAGGAATCTTAGTTCTGAGCAGGAAGCATAAGGGAAGGTGCATCTGGAGAATGCAGGGAAACAGCATCACAAAGTTAAGTGAAGGTCAGATTCTTCCCCAGACACAGAGGAGTCCCATGAACCCTTAGTGTTCAGAGGAATCATGAAATAACCAACACAAATGTTTGCAGCATCGAATTTCATGTGCTTTCCATCTGCTAATTAACTCCTAGGCCTCCTCGAAAGATGTGGTCAGACAACTGTGCCAAGAAAGCTTTTCCAGTTCAGCCCTGGACTCAAAACAACTCTTGGATGTTACGTGTTCCAGCTTGTCTGTGACCCAGGAGGAGGCAGAACAAGTAAGTGTGGTGACAAGTGACCGCTGCCAGTCCTTATCACTTGTCAGCCTCCCTCTTGACTCCCCGTCAGTTGCATGCCCGAAGACATTTTCTCCTGACACATCTGTTCACATGTAGCAGGCCTAGATAGGTTTAAAAAAAAATAGTCATGAACTCAAAGGATTTTGTCTTTGAGCCTTTCTTATGACACTCAAGCCCCCTTATGATAAATAACCAGAGTTCCCGGCCACTCTCGTTTCAGGCTTATTACCTAGGCAATGTGGGGAAAAAACAGAAAACAAAACAACAACAACAAAAAAAACGACCTTTAGTGATTTTCCTGCCCAGCATGTGACCTGCGGGTGCTGATGAACTGTCAGCTGGGCACCTGAGGGCAAACCTTGGAGAGATCTTTGAGCTGAGGCACCAAGGCCCGAGTAGCATTAGAGAGTACCCACTCCCAGGCTCAATCGGGCTCCCCCAGGGATGCTGTGTTCCCCACACCCCCTTCTCTTCCCTCTGGCCCTGTGACATCCTCTGCTCAGCTCATATAATTTTCTTCAGGCAGCTAAGAGGAAGCCAGAGTGACTCATGCTAAGTTATACAGCAGTGACTGTGTTGTCCATCCAGGGCAGAGATGCTTGACAGGAGTATCTTCATCCAAAGGGCCCAATTATTGTCATTTTCCTTAAATCTGGAGCTTTATTCATGGGAAAGAATTATAGGAAATTAAAAGGCAGAATTAAGGTTGTAGATTTAGTTTGGATGCCCTTAAAATAAATACTAAACAAGGACTCGGGTACAGCTGGGTGATTCTAGGAAAACAGAGGAAGGAGTGGGGAAAAGACAGAATGGAGACAAGCCCACTACAAAGCTTGTTGATGATGTGGTCACTGCGGGGCTCTAACTCCCACCCTCACAGCTGGAAGCTTCGTTGGGTTATGTCCATTTATAGTCAGGCAACCTCTGTGGTGTCAGGTAAAGCTGCAAAGCAGAGTCACCTACAGAGAGCTAAGCATCAGTATAGTCATGTGAGCTCTTTGCTACCTCTGGCTCCAGATCTGCAAGGACATAGGATGGTTGGTTTACTGAGAGTATAACTCAGTGATAGAGTTCTGAGCTGCCCTGGGTTTGCTCGGCAGTGCCTACAAGGATATAAGGGCATAGCAAGGCAGGGTCCAAGACTCCTCTTTCACAGAGGGAATCACACCGTTGGCCAGGAACTGTTTTTCTCTGATCTTCCAGGTGACAACATAAGGGTAAGGACATGAGATGCCTTCCACTCCAGAGAGACTGTTAATCTTCTCTAACAACTCAGCAAGCACAGGTTCAGATTCTTGCAAGGGAGGTGCAGCCTCACTCATGGAAGGATGGCCTAGTGTTTACACAGTCCTCTTAGTCCAGAGGCATTGGGCCAATGCAGGGTTGCCTAGTAACTCAGCTGGCTTTGCACTTCTCTCAGGTTACCAGGGAAACAGCATCACAAAGTTAAGTGAAGGTCAGATTCTTCCACAGAAGGCAAAAAAGGTATATTGCCCCTTTGCCCACAACTAACAAGTTTCTGACAAGCCGATGGCTTCCTAGGTCAGGTAGCTGCTTCTGTCTTCTAAAAGGACCAGTGAACTAGCAAAGTCAGCTTGGGTGTCAGCGTCTGTTGCGGACACCCACATTCGAGTTACCTCACTCTTGTGACTGTGATGGTGTGCCATGGGTGAGTGTACAGAGCTCCACCCCTGCCCCTCTGTGTACCTCCTGCCTCTGCCCTTCAACTACAGAGCTGCCCTCTGTGTCCTACAGCTGCTCCAGGCTCTGCACCGCTTCACTAGGCTGGTGGCATTCCGTGACCTGTCCTCTGCTGAAGCAATTCTGGCTCTCTTTCCGGAAAATTTCCACCAAAACCTCAAAAACCTGCTGACAAAAATCATCCTGGAGCACATGTAAGTGTGTGTTTTTGAGAGTTCCTTCTAATTTTCATATTTCTTGTTATTACTATTCTTGTACTATTCATATTCTTAATGTTACTATTAGTATATTATATATACAATTATATACACAAAGCCTAGGAATAATATAAATTTGTGGTTGAAAATGCATACAGATAAATGATGGAAGAAAATAAGATGCTTGCTGGGTTTTTTTTTTTCTTGCCTGGTCCAGCTGCTTAAGCCCCAAATGAACACACAGAGATGCTACATTATTATACAACTGTTGACCAATGACTAGGGCTTCTTACTAGCTAGTTCTGTCTTAATTATTAACCCATTTCTATTAATCTATGTATTCCCACATGGCCTTGGCTTGCCAGAGAATGTCCAAACCTTCTACTCCTCTTGTCAACTACATGGCGACTGTCTTTGGCGGGCTCTCTCTGACTATCTTTCCCAGAATTCTCCTCGTCCTAGTCCTGCCTATCTTCCTGCCTCATTGGCTAAAGGCCAAACAGTATTTTATTTATCAACCAATAAGAGAAATATATACAGAAGGATATCCCCGTCAGCTTGTAACCCCACACCCAGAGGTTGCTGCATCCATTTTTTTAATGGAAAGCCATTTATTTGTTTATTTATTTTTGTTGTTTGAGGAAGGGTCTCATGTAGCTTAGGCTGGCTGACCTTGATTTCCCTTTGTAGCCAAGGATAGCATTGAACTTGTATTTCTTCTACATCTACCTCCTAAGTTCTGGGATTGTAGGCATGTGCTACCACTCCTAGCTTGAAGGTGGCAACCTGTTTTGCATACATATGGAGAAGCCAGTCTTCTGGGTTTGTTTTTAACAAACAGGACCTTGCCATTTTATAGCTTCTTATTTTAAGCAAGCATCATTAATATTGATGACACTTGTGTAAATGTTTACCCATAGGGTCCTTTTTAACAGTTAAATGTAAAGTGTATTCTAGTACACGGAGGAATTTGGTATAATTTTTAGAAATTCTTTAAGGTTAGCTATTTAAGGTATTGACAGTTTTTCCCAAAGACAATTTGTAATAGAAACTTTGTTACCTATTCAGTTATTCACTTACTGACTTAAAGGCCATGCACACAGCAGGACATACTGGGCTTTGCCTTATATTGTCAAGTTGGCTACGAAAAGCTTTGTTCCAACCCCCTCCTTGGTTTTTGAGACTAGCTCTCCCTGTGTAGCCTAGGTTAGCCTTGCATGTGGAGTGTGCTGTCCCTGCTGCTGTGATTAGGGGTGTGCACCACAAAGCCTGGCCTCACAGGGCTGAGATGATTTTTCTTTCCCCAGTTCTATGAATGGGAAATGATTCCCATTTTAGCTTTCAAATTTTTGAAATTAGAGATGTTGATTATTGTCTTTTCCCTGTATTGGTCATTTTAAGTTTCTTTTATGAATTGTCCTGTTTTCTGAGCTACGAAGATGATTTTCAACATCAATCTTAGAAGTGATTGTTGTTGGTCTGGAAGCTCTAAGGGGTCTGCAGCAGTAATCGGAAGTGGCTGTTTACCAAGGGCTTGTATTTTCCGGAAAGAGAGCCTTTATTTGGAGGGAGGCATGCCATGGTGACACAGAAGTCGGGGTGGCTTGCAGGACTTAGTCCTTTCTTTGGACCATATGGGTCCCACAGATTGGACTTGGGTCCTCTGTAAGGGCCGCAGCTGTATTTGCCTTCTTCCTTTTATGGTTTTGTGTTTTGTTTTCTTTCATTTTGTTTTGTTTCTCCTGAGCTGTGAAAACTATTGCACTTGGGCCTTGCCATCACTGAACTTTGTGACACCATGAAAAACTGCCTGTGATAGGAGGGGTTTCTAAAGCCCTTTCTTGGTAAGAAGCCACAGCTGGGGTCCCTCATTATCAGAGAGCTCACTCTCATTGCTTTCCCATTGTTTCTTCCTCATCTTTTCCTTTTAAACAGATCTACTTGGAGAACTGAAGCCCAAGCAAACCAGAGTGAGTTCGGAGCCCCTGCCTTCCACTGCCCCTGCTCCTCAGTGCCAGCTCTGAGTTCCCCAGCCAGGAACTTAACCACAGACCAAAGAGAACTGTGCTATCTCCAAACCGCACCCTGTGTTGTGCCTTTTAGATTTTACTCTTCAATATGATGAAGAAGATGATGATGGAAACAAGTTGCTAAAAAATGCAGAAATACCTAAGCAGAAAGTGAAGTACCTAAAGTATGTGTCAGTTAAGACAAAAATAAAGAGGGTAGTGAGCAGCCTGATAGGAAGGAGAGAACGAGAAAGAAGGAAGTGCACAGTGATCACCAAAGTGTGATCACCAAATATGCATGTGACAGTGACCTTATGTAACTTATGTTACCTTACATACAATGAGTATAAACAAGGAGAATTGTATGTGTATGTGTGATTTGCAAAAGGGAAAGGCTAGTCAAGTTGCTCCTAAAGATTGTGTAAGAGCATGCTGCTGAGTGGCTGCCCTGGACCTTTCGTTAAGTCAATCACAGAGATGGAGCTGTGTCTGCACTGACTCACCTAGCCCTCCCAGTCACCCTGCAGACTTCTAGATGAGGGGGTTAGGCAAGTGTGGGACTTGCATTCAAACCAAGGCCATTTCATCTATAAAACAGTCTTTAGCATGGTCGCGGAAGTTACCCTTTCTCTACAACTCAGGCCATGGCTGTATCTCTGCTTGTGTCATTTGCCATTCTCTCTCAACATCTGGAGTGTGGGTGTTTGGAGATGCACCCACTGGGAGTCAGTGCTAAGGGCAGGTGGCCCTCCCTGCCTCTTCCTGAGACTTGTGTATGTATATACAATCTTGAAGCTACATGTCACTGAATAAAAGCTCAGGAGAAACAGGTACTGTGACCTCTGACCAAAGCTGTCTCCTCCACAGTCTCTCTGCCACGCCTGGTTGACCTGGACTGGAGAGTGGATATCAAAACCTCCTCAGACAGCATCAGCCGCATGGCCGTCCCCACCTGCCTGCTCCAGATGAAGGTATGCCCATGGTCAAGCTCCTCAGAAGCCAAGAGGGAATGACAGTGAGTTGGCTCTCCCCCAGCCACAACCATCTAAAACACCAGCAGTCAAAGTAAAAAATAAGTAAAATGCCCCCCCCACACACACACCATGGTGCTTGTTCACAGATTACAGCTGCAGGACCATATTGGCTTAGCCTGGTCATAATGGAATACATACTAGAAGCAGAGGTTTCAGAGCGACAGGTGCAGGGCATTGTATCTGTTAAATGATGTGCTGATGTCAGGAGGTGTCCGCTTTAACAGCAGGCTTGTGCATATAGATGTCAGCTAGCCCTCTGCATCTGTCAGGTAGCCTCTCACTAGCTTGTCGAGCAGAACTGGGCCGGCACTGTTGCGGTACAGCCCGAGCTTCTGTTGGCAGTTGACTGGTCAGTACTTCATTTTCCTGTTCGCCCGCCCTGTCTCATTATCTCCACATCACTGTTCTTTTCCAGAACCCCGTAAAGGTGTGAACCCATTTTGTAGGGTTTCTGTAGTTAAAATTAGAAGAGTGCAATGCTATAGCCACTTCTTCAGACATCCAGAAATTCAACCCCTGTAGACGATGAGCAAGTGTCTCTTATTTAACAGGCCCCTTTGAAAACATAGTAACATTTCATTTCCTCTTTTAAGATCAGATCAGTGTACCTGGGGCTTTTCTGTGTCCAGTTGTTTTCCGCATGTCGTGGAGTCCACTTTTTAGTGCATGTGGACAGGTAGGGCTTTCTCACTTGAGTGCTAAGCCCCAGTGTCAGAGGGGCAAGTGAGCCTTCACTCGCCCGGAGAGTGTAGAAGGCAAGTGACCCAGGCCTTTTGGGCATCTTCATTGTCAGCTGCTAACGAAGGAAGGCTAGGATTCTCTGCTGCACTCAGTAGCGACCTTCCATTCAGGAGACAGTAGAACTGAGTCGAGCTTGCTTCCAAGGAGGAGCAAAGACAGGCAGCTTTGACTTTCTGGGTCGTGTTCTTCTTGCAGATCCAAGAAGATCCTAGTCTGTGTGGAGACAAACCCTCCATCTCGGCTGTGACCATGGAGCTGAGCAAGGAGACGCTGGATACCATGTTAGATGGTCTGGGCCGAATCCGGGACCAGCTCTCTGCTGTAGCCAATAAATAGGCCACCCAGCTCCTGAGCCGTCCGAGCAGGTGCGTTTCTCAGGCTGACAGCGGGCGCGTGGCAGGATGGAGGGGCTGCTGCTGTTTGGAAGGCACAGTGGAGGAAGGAAGCAGCCAAGCCCAGGGCCGATCTTTCTCTTCCTCATTTCCTTTCTTTTCCTGATAATGAGCAGAAGCCTCCACCCCTGAGAGGGCCCCGTGTGAAGCTGAGTTACTGCCGTGGCTGTGTGAGGGGACATGTTCTCTATATCAGCCGCCTGTGCACTGCTGTGGAAAACTCGGGCCCACACTATGGAACTTGCCTAATGAGTTTACCTCCAGCATTAGCACAGATGGGTTCATTTCCAGCTCCGGAATCCATGGAGGGAATTAGGGGTGATGCCAGCAGCGCCTGCTCACCCATCAGAGAACCAGCAGACAGATAACAATGCAGCACCACAGCACGATCCCTCAGAGCCTTCCCTGAGCTTATGGCCCTGCTGGGCCACAGCTCCAATTCTGAAAACTAAAACATGCTATTTTTCCACTACTCCTCGGCAAGAAAGTGGAAACAATTGGAAATAAATAACAGTTTTATGATTCTGGTCATGATTCTTTTTACTTGAGTTGATGTCTTCAGCCCTAGCTACCTCTCATTCGGGTAAATGACCTTAACTTAATTCCAAGTTAAGCTCACAACTGCGTGGTATGAAGTAATGCAAGGTTAATAAACCTCTCCACTCTCCTTCTGGTGTCCATCATGTACAACAAAACAAAACAGAAAAAAACAGTGCTAACAGTCAGGAGAGGCACCCCTGAGAGTTTAGCCACGTGAGAACAGCTCTCTCATGTGCCTCACACGCCATACGACCCCATTTCTGGAGCCCTTTTCAGTGATCTCCACAGTAGCACATGCCACCAGATGTGTGCCTCTGTGTGTGTGTGTGTGTGTGTGTGTGTGTGTGTGTGTGTGTGTGTGTGTGTGTGTGTGTGTGTGTGTTTTGCAGGGAGGAGGTAGCACCATTGGTAAAGAATTTAGGTCTGGCAGTTCAGCAGCTAGCCTGGGAAGACAGCCCTGCTTCTTGATGGTGATGTGCTTGACCTCTAAGAATCAATTCCTACCCACCCCTGCTTTCCTGTTTTAATTAAGTAGACACATAATTGTATCTCCCGTATAAGACTGTGAAGATCAAATATATAGCACACCTGAAAGCAGTTACACTGGGACAGCTAATAAGCTCAATAGTGTTAGCTCTGACTATGAATAGGAGCAGCTGTAGGGAACTCTGGGCATCCTTTGCCCTGTCTGCCCAATGGGGTTATATGAGGATGAATGCTGTTTTCCTCCCTTTATAGATGAGACAACCAGCTCATGGAGGCCCAGTCCCCTGCTGGCAAATGGCCTCATTAGGATCTGGGGCCAGATCTCTCTAGCTTTCTCTCTGAGATACAGGGTTCTGCAAGGGACATGAAGTTCTTTAACTGGCTTGGTTTGGAAAACCTGAATCTGAAGATAAGAACTCTAACCTCTGACCACCCAGTGAGATCCTGGGAAGTCAAGGCAACCCGCTGGGCTTCTCATACTGAGCGACCTGATCTCAAAAAACATTTTTACTAATTCTTTGAGAATTTCGCACAATGCATGATCATATCCACCCCCTTTCCTACTAACTCCTCCTAGACCCACCTCCACCACTCCATCCCCTCCCAACTCTGTCTTTTTTGTTTTGTTTTTTGAAAAATAACCTGTTAAGTCCAATCTGTGCTGTCTGTACACTCATGGGTACCAGCCATCTCCTGGTGGGTGACTGACTTAATGGGGGACCACACCCTTAAAATGGACTGTTCCTCTCCCAGAAGCCATAAATTGTCATCATCTTTTCAGCTAAGAGTAGAAGACTGTGCTCCCCTCCCACTCTATCCGTCTGGCTTGATCTTGTGCAGGTCTTGTCCGGGCAACCACAGATGCTATTCGTGCATCAGTACAGGGTTCTGTCACGTCCAGAAGACACTCTCAGTCCTCTCTAACCCCTGGCTCCTACTCTCCTGCAGTTGTCCCTGAGCCTTGAAGGGGGGAAGTGGGATACAGATGTCCTATTTGTGGCTGAGAACTCACAAACACTCTCTGCACTTTGGTCACGTGTGAATTTCTGCTCTGCAGCACAAAGGAACTTGTCTGATGAGGTCAGAGAGCTCTGCTAAGCTATGGATACAGAGATACAAAGTAAAGGACAGTAGCATGCTCTTAAAATGGTAGACATGAATTCTCTGGGGTCATATGCATTGAGAGCCTGTGGATCTGTCTGTAGAAAAGAACTGTTTCATATTTTGCTTGCCATGGCCGGTCATGGACCTCAGACCCCAGCCCGCTACTTAATGTTGACAGGTCCTGGCCTGCTCTCATGTGGGATTCAGCCTTGATGGGAATTCACCCCTATTTTCCTTCTGTGATCTGCTGAGACCCCACATCCCTGGCATCACATCTTCTCAGTCTCCCATTGCCTGTCATCATCCATAAGGAACATGCGAGGAGTGCCGTCTGTGTGTCTGGGAAGTCGGATAGTCTATTTGAATGCAATAACACTTGTGCTGTGACGTCATACTGAGTATACCTGGAAAAGTCAGAAAATGTTTTGTGCCCTTGGATAATCTGCTTTTTTAAGGGATTTAGGGCTTTTGGTTTGGTTTGCTTTGTTTTTAGCAAGAATAGGCTGTTTCCAGGTACCTTATTTCTAGTTAGGTCAACATGATTTCAGAAAAATCACTTCCCCATTGATCTTGAAGGATGCTCTTTGCTGGGTGATTGTATGGTGTCCTGATACCACTGTACAATGAGCAGCTCTATATAAGCCCCTTCCCTAGGGTGCAGGAAGATCTGATGTGCAGACTCTGTCCATCGAAGGGCAGCCGTCAATCTCTGGGTGTGACGGTGCTCCTGACCGCTCAACACATTCCACCTACACAACACAAAGGGGAGCAGACACCTCAGTCCTGATTAGCATATCTGTCATGAGACTGTACTGTAGATGTGTCTCTCTCCAGAAAGCCAGTCTGCCTTTCCCCGCCAGGATCAGCAGGAGAGGCCACCCCTGCCTCTGGGCTCTGGCAGTGAGACCTGCTTTCCTGGCACTCAGAACAAACCCATCTGTTCCAGACCCCAGAGGAGGAGAAAGAAGGTCAGAGTTTTGAGCTAACAACCCCATTCCTCTTAGCGTGTCCATCAATGCTGGAGGATGAGGCTGCGTTAGAGGGCAAGAGCTTGTGGGGATGAGATATTCCTAGAGAGTTATGAGGGCCAATTTACTCTTTGGTGAAAGTTGAGTCAGCCTTGAACTCACTACATGTTAGGCTGATGGGTCAGTGAGTTCCAGGGATCTGTTTGTCTTCCCAGCACTGGGACCATAAGCGTTTTTTAGGTGTGTTCTAGGCATGCAAACGCAGGTCCACTGTACAAACACATCCCTAACTGAGCCATTTCCCTAACGCCACTGATTGGATAGGGGAAGAAAAGTTGGGATTCTCCACAAAACCGAAGTTTGCCTTGAATGTGTTGACTTCCAGCCCTGCCTTATCGTCCCTGGATCCTACCATCCTCCTTCCCTTCCCTTTTCTGGTGATGCTCAGTCTGAAGACAAATAGGCATCAGAGTCAGTCACCCTCTGCATGCACATGGCACCCTATCCAGGAATCCATAGGCAAAATCTCCAGCCTGGTGTTCACAGATTTCCAAGTCCGATATGGTTTAAAAGCTGAGACGTCACCACAAGTGAGAAACTTTTGTTAGTAATCATTCTTTTTAAATTCTAATCTAGAAGCTATTGACCACCTGGCACTTTGAAGATTTTTCAAGGCATTAGACACAAGAACTCTTCTGAGCTTGTACCTGCTGACTTCCAAATGCTGATAGCTCCTGAACTTCCTACCTTGCTCAAATTTCTGTGACTTAGTTTTGAAAGGGAAAACCAGTTTTCCAGCAGTAGTCCCTGGTTGGTGCAAGAGGACCCTGATCTCCAAGGAGAGCTTTTGCTGGGGAATGCCTGGGGAAAGACCTGGTAGGCTTTCAGAGCTCATCTGTAAGGGAAGGTAAGCACTCTAGGGAGCATAGCTTTGCGGCACACCTCAAGGCCTGCAGGCTGAAGGATGGATCTTTCTTGGCCATTGGTGTCAACATTGTACACACTACACGATGAAGGGTGACAGTGCCCCACATGGTGATGAACAAACGCAGGCTGAGGGCTCCAGTCCTCAGAGGACACGGTGGGACTTGCAAGGAATGTCCAGGGTGGCATCCCTAGCGCTTAGCTTCTGGTTAGCATTTCAGAGGCTGCTAAGCTCCAAGGAGTGGGGCTTACTGAATTAGTTTGATGTTGGCTGCATTAACAAAAGCCCACCTTCCATGGATCACGACATTTAGGTGTGGATAATGTAAACGTCTGAGCCTGTAGAAGGCCTGCCTTGTTCCTGAGTTCATGGACGTGGGTTCTCTTTGTTTCTGCTTCACCCGTCACCAAGTGTTGCCCTTGCTGCGTGGACAAAGCTTGCTCACCTCTGTGTTCTGAGGCTGGACCCCAAGGAGGAAGAGAGTGCAGCGGAAGATACCACATTCTTTCCACTGTCTACTGCCGCTCAGATTCACACAGCCTGTCCTTAGCTGCGGGGTAGGTAGGGTGAGGACAGTAGACACATCTGATAGGCGTGTCACGTGCACCTACTCAGAGACTTCAATATAGCTTCAAGTATGGGGGACCAGAAGAAAACAGGAAGCACCATGGGGTTTGGAGGTGATGTGCCTGCTTCTTAGTGAAGGAAGACACGCCTCATTAACCTAGCCCTCACAGTACCTCCCACGGCGCCCAACGCACACCAGATTAACCAGTAATCACCGATTGTAACTCACAACTTCAAATAGCGCTACCACCAAACTGTGGGGTCACTTTTATAGAAGTCTTGGGTGAATTTGAATCACAGTTTGACAGAAGTGACATTCGTTTGTGTTGTCTCTAGATAAGTTTACGTTAAAGTTTATGGTTCATCAACTTCAGCCATTCTTTCAAGCTTTTATTGACTTCAAGTCCACGGCAGTGGGGATACCTATGGCAATTCTTCCATCCACCCATGGCCATAGTGACAGTGGAGGGTAGGTGTCCACTCCTAGAGGTTGCACCATTATCGGAGGTTGGGGGCCACTTTTGTAAGGGGCCAGTGGAGAGAGGTGCTGGGTTCTCTCCGTCAACTAGGTGGAGAGATAAGTGAGGGATTTACCATGTGGGTCTTAAGTAGAGAAAACCAAGTCAGACCATTGTCCCAGCTGAGCCCTGTCTGGAATGCCTTCATCCGACCCCTGCGCCTCTCATAGATTCAAGAGCAACACCAGCAAGGGTGTAGGAAGTCAGAACACTAGCCTTTCTCCTCTGCATGATCTTCCGCACTGTTCCTGTGGACACACTGTGTGCTGATGGTCTGTGTGCTTGTCTCCATCCCCAGACCCCCCCATCCCCCACTCACACTTGAGCACTCAGATGATGGGCGGTTCCTGTCGGTATGGTTTCCAGTTACCAGCTAAACTGATAATCTGTCTCTGGGATTGATTTTATAAAAGA